AGCAAGTGTACCACAGAATCGCGACAGTATTCGATTAGATATTGAATTAACGCGACCGTCGACATTAGAGCAACAAACAGTTCTTACGGAGGAAGGGAATAATACATTTATTTCCAAATTAGTCGCACTTCAGCAACTCTCCGATGAACATGTATGACAATGACATCGTTTCGTGTTCTTTCTCTCTCCTTTTTCTTTTTGTCTTTTTACGGTGTTTTCAGTTGTGAATATTAAATGTTACGTATATGTTCTTCTTTATCGATAGATAACTATTAAAAGAGAAATTTCGCATGTGACTGGGAGAACATGTTCAATGCTGGTGACGACATTGCAGTGTTGACCTTGTCACATAACATAGAGCAGTCATTGTATTGCATGATAAATTGTATGAAGTATTGTGACATAGAACGGGAGAAAAAGAAGGAGAATGTAAGTGTGCAATTGGCCTTTTGACTTGTACAAAGAGAAGAAGAAGAAAAAAAGAATGAAAACGTACTTTTGTAAGGTTATAAAAACGATACGATAACAAAAAACGACATGAAAAACACTTTAACAAGAATTATGTGTAGAGCATAAGAACAAGCTTTTCTTTTTTTCGATTTTGGCAGTGACTGACTATGGCGGAGAAGTCTCGTCTCATCTGGCAAATCTTCCAAGCTATTGAAAACAACGATGATGGACACGGCCTATGGAATCTACTCGAACAGATCACCACAACAAGTTTCGATCAAGGAGTTGTTTACATGACGTATGCCGGCGAAACGCCGCAATCATCAGCGGAGAAATGTCACCGACATCGACTGTTACAATTATTAAAACTTCATGAAAAATTAACTTATAGTCGTGCACAATATCAGTCTTAGTAAATATTTCCTAACATGGAGACAAACAGTTCTTCATATTTTGTTTTGCTTTGACATTTAATTAATAAATGGCCATATAGTATATAACAGAGAAGCGAGAAGCTTTGTCTGACAAAAAAAAACATACATAAAACAGGTCGTGCATCTAAGTCATCACGGTTGACGGTTATATGCGCAAGATTTACTAATTTCTATGACATTCGAAATAAAGAATCATTGTAGACAGAACAGTTGTCGTTGTATACAAGTATTTATAGATAACACATACTTACATGTCAAGTTCGAATAGCACGACATGTCCGAAAGATTTTGGTTCTGACTTGTGTCAAAAGAAATAAAACGTCATAAGAATACGTCAGAAGCATATAATTAGTTAACTAAAATCCTTTTTTGTTAATAATGATCACGTTCGTGTTATCTGGTCACTCTTCCACTTACATGAAACAATGGCATATCGCACGGAGATTCACCTCATTGTAGCACGTAGAAAAGAACAAATGAGTTGCAATAGACATGCGTTGTTAATATGACACGAAATCACCTCATTCTTGTTACCATTTGCAGCAACGCTGATATCATACGATGCGTATGCAGTGATGAATTAACTTATTAATAGAAATCATCAACAAGTCTAAGAATATGGCTGAGTAAAAGATCACGAATGAAAACAGAGATCATATGTATGTCTTGTGACTAAATCCGAAAGATTTTTGGTAAAATCAGCAAATATCTATAGTATTCACGATGTTCTGCGAAGTAAATTGTGTAAGCAGGGCAAACCACAAGGTCTTACTAATGTTGCGATCGGTTTGTTGAAGACGAGAAGTCATCAGTATACAGTTCGATTATGCAGGAGAAGTCAAAGGACGACCCTGGACATCGATGCACTCCGAAGAGAATGAAAAAAACACGATAAGAAAATGTTTATCATATCACTTCAACAAACACAGATATTTTCTCTCGTGAGAGACCCAATAGTCAATGGCTGACGAATACTACTCTTCACGGTTAGATATTCCATCTTCGACTGTACTGATCACTGGTGGATCAAGTGGGATTGGTTTTGGTCTTGCTCGATGTTTTGTTCAAATGAATGCCGTTGTCATAATCACCGGTCGTCGTGAACAACAATTAAAAGAAGCAGCAAATGAATTGAATCAGTTGGGAAAGAAAAATGTGATCTATCATGTCAACGACGTAAATAATATCAATGAACGACAGGCTCTTTACAAATGGATCGTTGATGAATATCCTCAAACGAATGTTCTGATTAATAATGCAGGCATTCAACAGGCAGTCTCGGTTGCAACCAATGATAAATCTGCTGAAGACCTTTCTTGGGAGGAGCAAGAAAAGACGATTCGAATCAATCTATCAGCACCGATGCATCTATCCTATTTATTTATTCAACATTTTCGTCAAATGAACGTTACGACCGCCATCATAAACGTTTCGTCAGGTCTGGCGTTCGTACCTCTAGCATCAATATCGATCTATTCGGCAACAAAAGCAGCGCTACATTCGTTTACTATGAGCCTTCGTTATCAAATGATGAAGGAAATAAAGAATATTCAAGTCTACGAAATAATCCCGCCAGCTGTACAAACAAATCTTGGCGGCGGGCAGTCATTTGGTGAACCGCTTGATGAATATTGTCGAGCAACATTTGCAAGTTTACTTCAAGGTCAACAAGAAATTGCATATAAAATGTCGGAGACGATGAGAAAATTGATATCGCGTGAACAAGTTGCCGAATTGTTTATGAAAATGAATGATAATTTAATGGCAACGATTCAAGATCCGTCCATTTGCTAAACATATTTAAAACAAGCTTGTTTTTTACTTTTTTATTCGACTTGAAAATATGCATTCGCTAAGATATATGAGAATAGCCGCGGCACTCATGCAATGGGCTCGTTTTGTTTTTTTTAAAATCTCAAACAAAACGGAAGCAGTTGATCTCAGCTGCATAACCTTCTGCCTTCTATTCATTCGTGTTAAATTGTAAAAGCCAATATGAAGACATACAAATAAACCTTTTTACTTCATACAAAGTACAAACTCGAGTATAGCTTCATTAATTTTTTTCAAAACTCTGTTTGATTACGTCCCATAAATTACACTCGTATGATACCAATGAAACTAAGTTATTTCTACTTGACGAAGTAGTGAATAGATTTGTTAGATTGTTGACAAAACTTAAATGAATGATAAATCTAAATAAGTAGTATTTTTCCTATATTGGTGCCATTATATTTATATGGATGTTGACATATCGAATGACACACGTTGCATGTCACACATTTCTGTAAGAGCCTAGCATCAACTCATTTGATCACGGCATCATTAAGTGAAATGCCGATATACCTACACCTACCAGTTACAGCCCATTCTCCCTACTTGCTTGCCTGTCTCCCTCTGCTTCAGTGTGATTATAAACCAACCATCAAACATTGTTTCATTCGTCTGTTCTGCTCTTTCGCAACAATCACATACACCTATTTATTCTCACGTTTACCTGAATTGAGAACACGGCCAGACAGAAAAAAGTAGAGCTAATGCTGTGTATGCACTCTCTCAGTCATCCTGTCGACCATTGCTTTCGGGAAGGCATCTAAAAAGGATGATAATCATTGTTCGTTTCTTCGTTCGCTTTTATTCTCCTCTCGTCTATCCCCTCTATTCCTCCGTCCGTCCATACTACACGATGAACGGGCAAACAAACGCATTCGCTTCTAGTGTGTGTGCGCGTGTGTGCGTGTTTGTGCCTACAGTCTTACGAGCGAGCGGACGTGTGTTCTCTTCCTCGGCATACATCCTAGTATAAAATAGTAAAAAGCAGCAGCAATCTAGGAGATCGGCGAACGAAAGAAAGGATAGGGGAAAGGAGGAGAATGCATTCAGTAGGCAACCAGTTATAGTCAATGCAACACAGCAACGACTGTTATCTATTTGACTAGAATTCTGTATACAACTTCGTCGTCAAGACACAACGCATAAACAGACAAGTACAGTTTTCTTCTTGCTACCTTTTTCTTTTTTTCACTTCTAATAGGTTTTTAAATGACTCAGACCGAAATAAACTGCTGATCAGCAAATAATTACAGTGTCAATTAGATGGATAATGATAGAAAAATGAATATTTCCTCATATACTGTTTCATAGACCTTCGATGAACATGTGATTTGCCGGAATAAGACGGAAGAAAAACGACGAAAGAGTGAGAGTAGGAAAGAAAAAGAGAGATCGGTCAAAACAAAATAGGTGACACGAAGTAGATAGTTACTCGGTGTCTTGCATTTGCTTCATCTCAATGCAAAATGGATGCGTACACGCATATATCGTACAATTATCGATGCGTATCACATCGGATTAAGCACTAGTGAACTTAATCCAAGAGCGTGTTTTTCCTTTTAGTATACACGTCAGTTTTAGCAGTTCTATTGCTTTTCAGTATTATCACCCTCATCATCATCATCATCATCATCATCATACGATGTTGACTATGAGTACTTGCTTTTACTCTGCAGGCAGCTGCGATAGTTAAGTCGTGCATATGCCCTCAGTCGTACTCTTTTTTCTAAGAGCAGAGGAGAAGGAGAACAGACAAGAAATTGCCGATGTTGATTTCCGTCGGAGCGAGCTGCAATAACCAACTGTTGGTCGTGCTAGAATACATTGCGAAGCGAACCTTGGCAGACATTCTAACTATGCTCGTTCGTTATGTACGAAGGCAAAAGAGAGAAGAAAAAAAGAGAGGAAAGATCGAAGCAACCGCTAAGGTATGTGTTCTGTTGCTTATTTCAAATGACAACAGCAGCAATATGCAAGTAAATGCATATTTCAAAAACTAAAGTCATAAAAATGACTACATCACGTCATCCCATCTGCAAGAAGAGAAAAGTTTTTTCGAAAAAAAAAATCATAGTGTATGTCTGTTTATGCCAGTATGATGCACACATGTCTATCCTTCTTTTTTTTTCTCTTCTTCTATATGGCTGACAGTGAAGCATACACGCGCGTAATTATCGTATCGAAATGCAGAACGAGAGAGAGAGAGAGGAAAGAGGGAGGCGGTAATCTCGTCCATGGTCAGTTCTATTTTATTTTTAGACAAACTAAACAATAGCAACAACGATGACAAGCACTATGTTGATGGACAGCACCCTTGATACGGATGGCACAGCATTTATTTGTCCTGAATGTAGCTTTAACGGTACAAGTTTACCAGAATTAATTAGTCATCTGAATGAAACACATGGCGAAGGTTTGTTTATATGTATAGCGAATTGATATTGTCTGATGTTGTTGTTCCTATTCTCCGTTAGAAACCGCGACGAAAAGTGTTTCACCACCGAAAAATCCGGCAGTATTATCGAATGAAAAACGATCAAGACGTAAACCAGCATTTAGTCATCAAGTACATTCTAAAAGAACGAAATTATCGATTTACTGATGAATTTCTTCTTTTCGTAGATTATCTCTCAGCCACAGCGCCAGTCAATGCCAGTATTCAAACAGTCTAATGTTGATCCCGGTTTGTTTTCATAGTTTGAAATTTCCATTCAAATTTCTTGCGCTTTCTTTCTAGGCTCCATTCATTTCTGGAATCGTGTTATATCAGCCGACGAGAATGATCGAAAATTTTCAGAGGTTTCATTTTCTAACATCAATACACTTTCATAACTGATAAAATTGGTTTCTTTTTCTTTTTACATATTTAGCCCACAAAGGTTCGCGATGAAAATGTAACTCATCCGAAGATAAGTCCACAAAGATTAATTGCACCCAAAATAATACACACTCCACCAACAACAGTAGATACTTCGTCCTCGTTCTGCTCACCATCTTTTCAGCCAATTCAAAAGAACTTTCAGTGTCGCATTTGCCATCTAACTTACAAAGTAATTTCCGCCAATTCAGTTGATATTATATTAAATTCTTGCATTCCAATAGAATTTTCATGATTGCACAGCACATATCCGTCGCAAGCATGAAATTAGTCATGCGCAAGCTGGTCGTTATGTTGGTAAACTCGATACCGATGTTCCATTACCACCTTCAGCAACAGGACATTATAAAATTCGCTTGAAAGTCAAATCTCTACCTCCTCAAGCACCAACGACTGCAACTTCAGTCGAGAATTTCACGAACGTCTATCAATGTAAATATTGTCCGTACACAGCATCTTGGTTGAAAGATGTGGCTCAACATGAAAGACAAAATCATGGAAAATATTCTTCCTTCGTTCATGAAGACACACCACATAGTAATAAACATAACAATAAAGATCACAATGATTTATCTGCACTTCTAATTGATAACGTTGAACCCTACAATGATGCTCTTCCTAATTCCAATGACGAAATTATTATGATAGAAGAAGATATTGATGATGATGAAGAAGATGCGTAAGATCACACAAACGCGTTCCAATTATATAGATTGCACTTGTTTTCATAGGCTTTGGAAATATCAACAAGAACTCAATAATCTAACTGAATCACCCACAAATCATAATAACACTACTCACCATCACCAGAACCATCCGAATGCGAGTTTTCTCGCAAAACCTTTCAAAAAATTTCAATGTCCACACTGTGAACACTCGTAAGTTGAATGGAACATTGATTACAATGTCAGCAATCATTTCGTTTAGATCGCCGAAGTTAGCTAAGCTCAAACTTCATATTGCAACACATACGAATATAAAGCCATACATGTGTTCGATTTGTGGCTGGCGTGCCAATCTTCGATGGTATATTCAAGTAAGTTAATGTAAATAGAAGAAACGAAGGTCATGTTATTTTTTGTCTAGTGTCATGCAAAGAAACGTCATCCGAATCAGAATTTCGAGGTTTTACAACTATCTAACGAAGAAGCTGAACAAACAATCAACGCTTATATGCGTGAAAATGGCCTGCAGACGAAAGTCCATAATCGTTTTGATTCTAAACATCACTATCAATGTTCATTGTGCCAATTTCGTTCGAATCATCCACGATTTATCGAACAACATATTGAAACAAACCACAGCCACATGATGGAACAAAATAATAACCATTCCAATTTAACTCCTGTAGACCTCAACTCTCAATATTCGTCAAAGATCGTCTATCCTAACTTTTCCTCGCATCCGAATTTCAATCCAAATCGTTTATATTACTGTTCGTTATGTTATCGTGGTTATCGCTGGCGTTATGACGTCAAACGGCACCACAAGACCATGCATGAGACAGTTGATGACGAAGTAACCAAAGGTCGAAATTTCCATTATCTGGAATACGTTCCGCAAATTGATAGTTTGATTACAGCAACGATGTCGAGTATTCACAATCCCATGAAGCACGAGAATGAAGTTGAAGATAATGATGATGATTTGAAATTAAGTATTGCTGATGCTCGAACAGTCGATGTAACTGACGAAGAAGCAGCTTTACTGATGATCGAACCAGAGAGATCGGAAACCAACCAAATTGTCATTGATGATCATCCTGAAGATGCAGTGATCGTCTTTGAAGATGACCGAACAGATAAGTCGACATCGGAAATTGCCAGACTGTCATCTCGACCGACCTACAAACCATTTCGTTGTCCATACTGTTTCTATCGAACTAACTGGCGCACGGATTGTATGCGACACATGCGAGCGCGACATAAGGTTGAACCGAATCAAAATGGATATTATGAAATGTCACCTGATGAAGCTGAACGAACTTATGATGAGTACGAACGTACATTTGGTTTCGTTGTGGCAAAGAAAGTTTTAGCACGCTTTACGGACTTTCGTCAAATATCTTGGGAAGATCTGAAGAGATCCATCTGGGAGAAAATCAAAGATAAACCAGATTTCGAACAATGTATTTATGATCGTCTACGGCCAGATGATTATGATCTAACACCAGTGATTCAAATGCCACCGGCACAACCTATTGTTATTACCATACCAAACAAAATGCCATTTGTGAAACAGAAACGTGTTTTTACCTGTATGGACTGTGCATTCAGTTCACATCGAATTTATGAACTTGAACGACATATTTGTTCCAGAATTCAAAAGGTAATTGTGTTTGCGATCATTGCAGCTAATGAATGAATTTCGTTTTAGTTTCAACGAGAGAAATCTCATGGTCAAGTCGTTGTCTCCTTATACGAGTGTACCAAGTGTTCATACCGTACAATGAATCTCAATTATGCTAAACAGCATATTTATCTCCATCAATCCAAAGAGAATGAAAAGAAAATGTTTTTCTACTGTTCATTCTGTGGCTATAATCATCGATTACGATCGAAACTTATTGTACATATCGCAAGAACGCATCCCAAACGAAACTCCTCCAATTGTTTAACTACTTGTCGCGTATGTCATTGCCAAAAACAAAACATTTATCTTATTCTTCTCTGCTACGTTCTAGTACGAATTTGATGCTGATTTTGCCATTCAACAAACTTTGTTAAAACGTTCGTTTATCGAACAACAATTGCAAACATCCAAGCTTTTCTACTGTCTTTACTGTCCATACATATCGGCAACAATTCTCGAACACAATCAACATCGCTTGTATCATCAGGATAATTCCATGCACTCGTACAAGTGTCAACATTGTTCATTTGCATCGAGTTCTTCTATTTACACTGTAGGTTGCATTCTCGGAAATGAATTCTCATTCTAATTGAAATTTTCTTTCTAGAATCAACATATGCTATTGCACAAAAATCCAACGCGAACAATGTCAACTGATATCGACGCGAAATCTTTGAAATATATTCGTAAGACTTAGGTGTATACCATCCGTTTTCTAGTTCTCATTTGTAGCTGTTTCTACAATCTGCAAAGAAATTCTCGGCAAACCTCGCCGTCACAATTGTCCATTCTGTAGATCATTCGCATCAAGTTGTTCATCGACAATACTCATTCACATAAAGGTAGAAACGAATGTAATCTGAAATATAGATTCAATCTAATCTATCCTTTGTTTGAATAGAATACTCATTCTTTGAACAGTAAGCAGTTTGATGGTAGTTTGATTATTGGTGCGGAATTAGCAAAAGAAATACTCTGCTTTGAGGTAATAAGATCAACAGGAAATCAATGAATTCGAAAGAAATATTTACTTTTAGAAACAATAATCATTCAATGGAATTGTATGGCATTGTCCTTGAGAAAATTCGAACGTTTTGTTTCTGTGTCAGATGTCTGGTAGTTTGTTTTCCAGTTCAATCGTAATGATCTGTTGAGCTTTATTTATTCTGATTACAAATTTCATTTGTATTTGACTCCATGCGAACATGTCCTCTGTTTGTTTTTTATAGAAAACCTATTCAATTACTATTGTATTGACTTCTATTAGAGATACATCTGATGAGTTGGGCATAGAACACACACCCACGAAATGTCTATTTGTTTCATTGCAATAGGATGAATCTTCTTGTTAGCTTCTCATTTATTTTTGTTACCCATCTGTATCTACCTATTCGTCGGCGTTCTACATCTTCTTGTCGCATTTGTGTATTTACATCTGTTCTTGTCTTCATGTTTGAAATAATTCCTAAATCAAACGAATAAACATATTCTACAGTGGACAATGAACGATGCACAAATCAACTGATCTGCTTTTGCATTTAAAATATGTTCAGATTTATTGGCAATAGACTAAAGCTTTCACTCATTAAGATTTACAATTATCAGGAGGCATGAACATGGTTCGTTGACGTTCTTGACGTTTTTCTTGTAAACCAGCAAAGAATGTTGTGACGTCTTGAGCTGTCAATACGCCATCACCGTTCGCTTTTTCGCGAAGAAAATCACCTAATGTTTTCTTGAATTCATTGATGCCACGTAGAACTTCGAGCTTTTGGGTGTAACCGAGATTTTCCAATGAATCAGCAAGAATTTTATCTCCATCGAGATTTTCGCTTTGAGCTAAAGCCTGTTTTTCGTATTCTTGAATCGAATCAGCATCATCGAATATCGGCGTTAATTTCAATTCGTCATAGAGTTTCTAGAAACGTGTGATTCTATGATTTTCAGTTAAAAAGCAATTCGTTGGCTCTTACAGAACATTGCTCACACCGACATAAACGTCGTCGCCATCCGTCTCGTAAGAAGATCGTATGAAACTCATCATTCTTCTCATTCGATGATAATAAACATGCTGCTTTCAAAAAGAATTCAATTGTCCGAAGATGTCCGAAATTTCAAATCTTACTTGCATTGTTCTCTGCTGGTGGTGTAATCACTCCTCGAATTTCTGGATAGAAGAAGAACATCGGTCAATGTCAAAGAATTCAGTGCATTTCTCACCATCATAAAAAGCTAAGAATGGATATTTAGTTACACACGCTTGGCAAATCATATCCATTTGATTTGTTTCGTTTTCTTCCATTGGTAATGAAACACCCAGATGCTATGAATTCCATCGTAAGATGAACGAACATCGATGCGCAAAAGTCTTACTTGACTGTGAAACCAATCTTCGCAAATAATGCACTGGATCATTTCATCATCTGACGTCTAAACTAGGACAGTTATCATGACAATTCCATCCATCATTCGAAACACAAACTGTTGCCTCTTTGTCTGGATACGGACGCTTGCACGTACAATAGATTCCTCGAAAATTGTCATTGTATTTATTCAATGTATTTTCCGGATCTTTATTCTAAAAATTCTCGTAATAGTAACGTGAATATCTCGTCCACTCTTACAAGATAAAGTTTACAAGGTTGATGACCTGATTTCGTATTGCCACAATCGCATCGGAAAAATCTAATCAAATAATCTTTTCAATCGTAAAAAACAAACTTCACTCAATCATTACCTTTTCGTATACAGTTCATTCACATCATGATTCGCATGGCAGTGATATGCACATGCTGCACACACACCAATCGATTGTTCATTCTTGTTACATGTCGTACAAGTGAACAACGCTTGACGTCTGACATATCCCTAAGGAATTAAAACAAAGTGACTGGTAGAACTGATTCGTTCGCTGACTTACTTGTGAATATGTACATGTATCGACATCACAATTACCATACAGTGCTCGTTCACGATCTAGTTCTTCTTCTTCATCTTCGATTTGCTCGAGTAATTCACTACAAGTAACAATTGGTTCTTCATCATTTGTTGCAGGACGCTCTGACGACATTTTTCGATAGATATTTCTCTAGAACTTACAATTTAGAACGAAATGATCTCTTATATGCACTGACAGAAAACAAAAAAAAAGAAAAATAAAGCATTGTATTGGTTCTTTGTTTGACTGATTGTTTGATTAGAACTACTTGTTTCCTTTCATTGCAAGAGATTGCATAGATTTCAATCGAAACAATAATCTTTGCTAAATGTCATCAGTGAACATTTATTTGCACTTGGTGTCATATATCGACATCTAGGAAACACATGCTCTTCAGTTTTTCGATTGCATCATCATCATCATCGTCGAACGACTTTCTGATTACTGAAAAATCTTGTTCACATTCCTCTACGATGTTTGATACGAAAGAACATCTTCGAACAAAAGAAGAAAGATCGAATGACAAACCTTCCTTCTTTTTCTCATTGAACAAAGGTCACCTTGTCGCGGATATCATTCGCACTCTTATGAAAGAAATCTTACTGAACACACGTTTGCCATAATCACGTCTTTGGTCACCCGATCTGGGAAGAAGTAATTCGAGATTAGAGAACAAAGAGAGAAAAAAAGTCGATGACGAAAAAAGAAAGATCAGTTCATTTTGATCAGTTCATTCGATGCGATAATCATTATGAACTATCATCGATTAGTTCAGAATCTTGGTCTGATTTTCATTCTGACGTATCCCATATCGTCAATAGCAGCGGAATGTAGTGAACATTCAAGTCAAGATGATGTTCCCTTTGGTGATAGAGTCAATCAAGCGCCAATTATTCTGATTGGAACATCTTTGAATAAAAATATTGATTCTCATATTCCAAATTTATTCAATGTGACATTTCTTGTTCAATGTATTCTGAAAGGTCGACCGACTCAACGTGTCATCTTCATTGTTCAAGCTGGTGAGTATCGTGACGTAGATGCGACAATTAGACTGCATTATTACTTTCAGGTTCACTTCTGGGCCGACGTTCATGTCAAAGATTAGATGTTAATCGAGAATACCTTGTCTTTCTCGAACCATTTTTCGATGGAACATATCGACCAGTTGATCTCGAAGAGATTCCATATACCAATCAAGTGAATATATTACTTTCAAAGACGTGTGGTCTATCGCGAACTTATCCGTTTACTGAATCCAATGATAGTGAAGCACTTCTCACTAACAAATGTCCACCGGCTGTCTCGACAAATTGTCCAACAGGTTCGACATGATTTCAGTCTTTTTCTTTGGCATTCTTCTAAACTTCCTACTTTTAGACCCACCAAAATCGGCCGTGAAAATTGCAACAGTAGCAAGTGTTGTATCATCAACAACTTCAACAACTAACGCTGATATGTTAACGAAAACTCCACTTGACCTAGATGCTATATCACTGCTTCTAGCTGAACATCCCTATGAAAATCTGAGTTTTGCTCTTCTACAAAATCAAAATCATAAATCACTTTTCTCAGACGATGAAACACGAAAAAATCATGGCCATCGCATGTCAACAATGCTTTTTCTTATTTTTATTCAACTAATTTTCAGTAGTATTCTGCACCGATTCTTGTAGATCTTCTTCTTTTCCGATTTTCACCTTTTTGTTCTTATTTATACATAAAACAATCTTCTCAACATACGAAATCAATGCAATAAAGCTAAGATATTCAAACATCTGTTAGAATAAACAAGAGGATAATCGAACAAGTGATTTCTAAAGTGAGAAGTGTATCAATCGTGCAACAGTCATCCTCTCGTTGACAATCGACTTTTCGTTTCTAAAATTTCATGTTTGTATATGCGTCATTGTTAACAGACGATATGGTCATTACACCGTTCCTGTTGTAATGTTGATCCACTGCTTCAGATATACGAACGATAGAAAAACAAACAAGGCAATCGCGTTTCTGTCATATCGTCCATGTTGTGCACGAAAAGAAAAAAAACGTATCGGACGTGCATTCTTCGTTCATTGTTAATATATAAACGCAAATCGACAATTCATTTCAATTCTGTCTTACGATACGTCAGCTTCGTGCAAAATGTGCAAGATTATCCCAACAATTCTTCTAATTGCTGTTGCAATTTGGAATGCAAATGCAATCTTTCATACCGATTGTTCACGTGATGATGTCACATTCGAAACAAAACTCGTCAACTCATCTTTTGTTGTGTATGGAAAACCAACTGCGAAGACGTTATACAATGATAGTGACTCCATGTTCTTCGGCACATTTCGCGTCGACTGTATACTCAAAGGAGAACCCATTGACAACATTATTCACATCATGAGAGCGGGTAAGTTCGAACTGATTATTTCCAATGAATAATTTCATGCCTGTCTGCTTTTCGTCAAGGTCATGTGAAAGGTAAAAAATACTGTCAAGATCTATCGGTTGGCCGTGATTATGTTGTCGCCTTTCTTGAACGAGATCCCTTCCAAGTGAACGAGACAAATACGTTTATTCCCACGGATTTTGCTGATATGCCTGTCGAAGGCAATACGACATACGAATTACTAGCTGACACATGCACTCTGAAACGAATTATTCCAATTGGATTGAAAGCTTCGGTGGATGATGTGTGTCCAAAAGTTTCTTCGAATAGCAAATGTGTACCAAAAGTAATCGTAGACGCGACAACTGTTCACACGGGTACAGGTGCAATCATCATTCCAGGTCAACTTCATAATGTAACTGATGTTATTCGAAGTAAATCCGGTTCAGTGCAAGTCGATGTTGATGGTAATACGGCTATGCGTACAAGAAACATCAACATTCTCCTTGTCTTCATGGCTATTTGGGTTCGATTCTATTAATCTCTCAGACAATAGAAAACAGACGATTATTTTTTGTTGATAAATAATGAAAATTTTTCTTCCTCTTATATCGTTGATAATAGAAATTCTACTTATGTTAATATTTCTCGAAAATATATCCCAATAAATATGAAGTATAGAAACTCCAGATAGACAGTGGGATTCTTCCCATTTCTGTACTTTTCAACGAATGCTCTATTGCGACACCTGTGTAGTTTGATACTGGTAAATTGGCTACTCCAATAATACGTGTTGACTCGAAAGATAACTAATCGACTGAGATTCAACAGTAAATAACATTGAGCGAAAGAAAAGAGAATAGAACATCGAACGACTTGCTATTTGTGTACTAAAATATTTTTCTCACGTGTGAAGAATACGAAGTCTAAAGTTATCTAACGTACAGGTAAACCTCGTGATTGACGAGTATTTGGTTGCGATTATCTATTTGATAATACCAAAACAGAAAAATATGCATCTGGAAATAAATGAATTACCGTGTCAAACGCAACTCGATACTCAGGATCTAACATGTCCAATATGCATGAGTAAGACGAAGTTGCTCTCGAAATTTCATTTGTTAGATTCGTCGTAAATAGGTATTGCTGGTGATCCTCGAGTGACGTCATGTTGTCATCGTGTGTTTTGTGCGAAAGATGCCGATCCCAATCAATATCAAAATGGCTGTCCGTTGTGTCGTGAGAAAGATTTTCACTTTGAGAGATCCCCTAAACACAAAGAGTTACTCGAACAACTGACTATCAAATGTGTTTGCTCGGAATACATCGCTCATGGTGATTATGAAAATCACCTGAATCGATGTTTGAACACACGATTTACTTGTCCACATACAGCTTGTCGTGAGAAAGTAAATAACAGTGTATTTCATTACGTAAACATGACTTTTTTGTCAATCGAATAGAACAGTTTAACCGAATACAATTCACAAGAACTGGTCAGTCATTTAGGTCGATATCATTGTGATGAAGTTCCTGTACTTGGTACAACTTATATCAAGAAATCATCGGTCGAATCGTATAGAAAAGCATCGAATAAATATGATGACCTGGTGAAAACTTTATATTCTGTGATTTACCCTAAAATGATTAATATACAGTTGAAAAATCTATCGTCAAATCAGCAAAATGCAGCTATTTTCAAATGTCCCCAAGGACACACATTGATTGAGGCTGATCATACAAAACGCAAACGTCGCAATGGTGTAGTTTACACTTCAAACGGTTTTAGCTGTGATGTCTGTCGTCGTGTTTTCGCCAGTGGTTCATCATGGCATTGTTCATGTACAAATGGTGGTTACGATAAGTGTATTGACTGCGTCGTTTTCGATTTGTATAATCTTGACGATCCCGTTTTGAAATTGGCAAGCACTGATAGAGTGGAACAACAGGAACGTGCACGACAACGAAGTCTTCGAGAGAGCGCGCGTGTTTCAAGAGAATTATCTCAAGCTTTAACCGAGCATGTCAGTGATGATGACATCGATGACGATGACGATGATCAAGTCAATTATGAGCTGTTAGGATCGAGATTGGCTCTTCCATTGCTTCTCGCTCGACAACGTGCAACCGAATCAGGAAATCATGAGACTAACCATGAAGAAAATTAGATGAGTATCCGAATTCAGTACATCTCTGCCGAGTTCTGTATATGATTTTTATCTTAATAAATACTACATATTCATTACATGAATAGATGTCTATACAGTTTATAAAATACTTTCCAACTTTTGAGGAAAGTCACAAGCGATCACTTGATTAATGTCTAGCACGTATAAATAGCTTGAATAAATGATTGGATACGAGTGTATCTTATTTGAATAGTTTGGCTAAATCTTCACTCGCTGATTTGATTGTGGGATATTTAAATGTATAGCCCGATTGTAATGTTGCACGTGGGATAACTCGTTGACCTTCAGTGACGACTACCGCACGTTCGGGACCAAGTAGAGTATTCATAAGAAAGGCAGGTGTAGGAAATATAGCTAGACGGGGTGGACTAAACGAACGGGCGAATGTTTGAGAAAATTGCTTGTTAGTGATCACGTCCGGTGCACAAGCATTTAAAATACCGTGTACATGGCTATTTTGAATAGCGTGAATAATCAATAAACAAACGTCATCGACATGAATCCATGGAAAAGGTTGTTGACCACTTCCAATGGGCCCTAAGAAAAGTTTTGAAAATAGATAGATAGATAAATATAGCGTTGCAGTATATGTACCTCCTAAAGAGAAGAAGAATGGCCAGTACATCGATCGAATGACTCCGCCTGTTGATCCTAGTACTGCTCCTATGTTCATAAAGTATTAGATGATCGTTCGAAATTGAAAATGAACATACCAGCACGTAGAATAGCTCTTCGGACATTGAATTTCGTTTCAACTGGTTCTGAAGCTTGCTCCCAATCTCTAGCTAGTCTTGAAAGAAAATCAAAATCACCACCTTCGGATGATTCTGTATATTCTCGCACTGGATCCGGTTTATAATATCCTTTTGAAAGGTCATAATAGCGATCGAATCATCTTGGAAAGACAACTTACCAACGCCCGACATTGACACGTAAACTTCTGGTTTGTCTTCTTTCAAATCTCGAATAAAATCAACAAATGCTTTGGTTGTGCCGATTCGACTTTGAATCACTTCATTTTTGTATTCGTCTGTCCATCGTTGGAAACTAATCAAGGGTGCACCAGCTAAATTAACGATGGCTTTGATTGGTTTAACCGTCGAACTGAGATTTCCATTTCGAATTTCGTCCTAAAACAGATCGAATCATTAAAAATCATCTTTCCATGATCAACTCGCAAAAAATTCTATTTGATATACCCATGTTAATGTGTTTCCTTTTCCATCGGATTTCCTGGATACAATCCAGATACTTTGAAAACCTTTTTCTCTTAACAATTGTACCAATCGTTGTCCAATGAAACCTTTTCCTCCTCCTGAAATTCAAATCACCAATCTTCCTTTCCGTTTTATTCTTAATACCTTCTTACCAATGATCACACTCATCTAAAACAATAATTCACTCGACATTGTTCATTCGCTTATTATTGGTATTCGAAATAAGAGAGAAAACTAAGATGACTCTGTTGTCTGAAAATGGAATGTTAATTTCACATTTTTATAAAACCATTTGTTATTGTCTGTATTATAAAAAAAAAGAATCCTACGAACAAAAAAAGTCAGTCTGAAGAAGAAGAAATGACAAGAAAACATGCAGAATCAAAGGCAGAATAAATATATATACGTGTTGAGAACAACATAGAGCAAAGAGAAGCAAATTTATTTATAGCACTGTTCAGGAAATGCATTTAATTCCATTTCTTCACTTATTGAATTCGTATTGAGTATATAACTGAGCTTGATTCGCATGCGAAGTTTTTCTCGGTTCGGATTCGACACTTTCATCTCTTGACGGAGTTCGCCAGCGTTATTAGCTGGAATAGTTGTACTATTTGCAGGATATAATTCGATGTGAAATGTCTAAAAATATGAACATGGAAGATTTGTGATAGAATGAAGTGCAATTTTGCTACTTTAGGCACCGCAGCTTTGAAAACGAAGTTTGTGATATTATACGGAGTGGAATTAGTGGCTGTTGAAATGATGGTTAACGTTGTATCTTCCCGTTCGAAAGTAAATGTAAGACTCAAGCCGTTCTTATTGAGAGCAATCATAGCTGGAATAGCTAAAGGAAATAACGCAGAGAGAGAGAGAGAAGAGTTAAGAGG